GATTATTATAGATAAAGATTTCCACTAAAAAAACTCTCGTTTATAAGGAGGTCTAGGTTATTCGTAAATGTTATCATGTTATTATAAGGTTCACACGTTAAGAATTTCATCGACCGAAAAAAATAAACAAAATCGACTGGAAAATGTGATTTTATTTTCATTGAGTAAGATAACATTCTGTCACAATGTGGAAAATGAAAATCAAATTCTCAGAAAAATATAAATAAATGAAATAAAACTGAAGCAAAAATAATAACCAAATATTAATTAATTTGTGTATACAATAAATAAACATTTTTTTTCCTATTCTGTTGGCATCACAGACATTTTTGCATTCCACTTTTGCCTTCTATTCATCTATTTTGGTCCATTATTAACAGATATACAGGTTATTGTAATTTTTAAACATGTAGTTTCAAACATGAATAAAGTTTTAAAATATTTTTCTTTTAGATTACAATAAAAAAAAAAAAATAAGAAGAAGTGATGTTATGTTATGTTGTATTATTTTATTTTCTTACCGTTTTGTCATTTGTTCACTTCTAATATTCTGTGCGAATTATTTGAACGGGTCAGCTAGTCTATGTTGAAATAACTAAACAAAAGAAAAATGTTAAAGTAGAATTTTAATGTATTCAGTTGGTATGACTAATACACCAATATCACTGAAGTAATAGACTTAGATGTAAAAGTCTCTGTTAATTGGAAATGAAATGACTCTAATGAATATATGCCAAAAAAATCTCAGGCAACATGATTCTGAATCTAGCATTTAAGTTTGATAATGTATAACAATTACATATAACATATAATAACAATATACTATATTTAATCATGTATTATTATCGAGTATAATAATACAACTACATAAGTTATAAGCTGCGCCTTCACTTGATGTGTTAGGCAACCAGACAAATCTCTACCTTCACTAGAGCTATCTAAACCAGCATTACCTAAGTGAACGTACGGCTTGAGCCTTCACTACACTTCACTGTATTTAATGGTATGCCGTGGTACAGGCCCAAATTTATCAAATTATTAACATCGGCCTGAAACTTCGTAAATATCTTCATCTCATCGTAACCTACAAAAGTTTTATTTACTTAAATCCTCGAAATTGGGGCGTTTTCAATTTGGAGATTGGCAAACTTTTTCTATTTAATTAGGTACTAAAAACTAGTAAATAGCTATTTACTTTCCGCTTGATTCGAAAAATAAATTGAGCACAAAGCCGGGAAAAAAGGTGGCCTTCAAAAATATTGCGCCGTTTGGTGTGATCTACACCTCCAATTGTCAAAATCACGAGGTTATATAAGACAAACGGCCCAATAATTTCGTAGGCCACATTTTTATCGATTTTTTTATCAAATTAGCTTAGAAGCAAATGGGTATTTACGTTGTTTTAGTACCTAATTAAATAGACAAAGTTGAAAACGTCTCAATTCCGATAGTTTACGTAAATAAAACTTGTATAGGTTACGATGAGATGAAGCTATTTACGAAGTTTCAGATGTTAATATTTGATAAAAAGGGGTTTGTATCACGAAGTACCGGAATCAAGTAGAAAACAAGTAATTTCTTTTAGCGGACAAATTTACAAATATTATAAAATTTAGAATAATTTTATAATTTTTTATAATAAACTGGCTTTACCCAGCCAAGCGCTGCTGTGGCCCAGTATGACAAAATGAAAAAAAATAAAAATATATATAAAACACGTATAAGTTGCTTAATTTCAAAGGACATCTGTCATTTTTAAAATTTGAAAAAAAATTGTTAGGAACATTAATTAATTAATTAAATTTATTTAATTTAATTCAATTTGAACTAATTCTAACTATTTTTTTTTCCAGATTCAACTTGAATATCCTTAAATAAAATCATCAGAAACAGTTTGAATTGAACCGAAAAACAAAAAGGGACTTTTTCTCTTCTTTCTGAAAATGACAGAGATCCGGCTTTGATAAGAAGCCACTCATTATTTTCATGTTTAATTTTATTATTAATATTTTTTAAATTTAATTTTCAACTTTTTTTTGGTGAACGAAAATGAAAAATGTTGGTTTTTTCAAAATCTTAAACCTCAGAAAGTTCTTCAACGATTGCTTGATTACTTAAATTAAATATTTTTGTTATTATCGCTTTCTATTCAATAAAAAACGTGACTCACTTAAAAAATCACAAATCTTGAATTTCCTACTATTCTGTTAAGAATTGGGACATTGTTGATATTCATTTTTTCGTAGATCAACTATCAGTATTTTAAATAGTTACCTCTACTTAGGGGACACCCTATATATATATTTTCGGAATCTACATATACAGATAATGAAGTTTTCCTCCATTTCCTCGATCCGTTTATTTTTAAGTAAATTATTCTTGAAATTTGTATAACAAAACAAATCTTTCCAGGAAAAACAAAATTAGACATTATAAACATTCATGAAATCGGTAATACTCTGTGGAGTGGAGACTATGGGATTTATCACCATGAAATCGTTGCTAATAATGAAAGGAAAATAGAGTGGCCAAGAAGAGTTGGGGAGGATACCAATTAAAAAAGAACAATGAGATTTTGAACATATTAAAAACATGAATGAGGAAAGGAGGTTAAAGTTCTTCGGCCATTTAAAGAGAATAGATCGAAATATGTTAAAAAATAGTTATATTTGATAAAGCGATGTGACAACAGAAAATAAAAATACATCCTGAAAAAAAAATGGGTATCATAGAGGAAGACTACCAAGACAAGGAAAAATAGGGAAAATAGTGAAAAACATATACGTTTTTGTAGCGGAAAAGAAGAAGCAAGAAGGTAAGAAATGGATAAAGGAGAGAATGAAGGAGATTAGAGACAAATGTGTGAAATATGTGCTAAAAGAAAAAATACTTAGAAATAATATACGCGTCCATATTTGGCCCGAATCGCGGTAAATATATTTTCGTATTTCATCTTTATATGTTCTCAGGGAAGAACCCCATACAAATACAGTCTACTATTACATTATTACTATTATAGTATTACAAATATTTTTTCTTTTTTTATTTATATACTACCTTACGAATATTACAAGAACCACTTAAATTTGGTAAAAAGTCAGACTGCCAAAATCATTAAAAATTATATAAAAATCTAAAAAAGCCATCAAAACACATGAACAATATCAATAAATACAGTTTATTTTTTAAATAATTATAATAAACTATGTTTTAAAATTCAATTAAAAAATTACTGGCACGAATAAAGAAAATAAACAAGAAATAAGACCTGAACAGACTACAGTTTGCAATATTATTCAAAGAACAATACAGGACAATATTACCCCACCAGTTTTCTATAATTTGATTTATTATAAATGAAATAATATAAATTTCTTATTTTCTTATTTAATCATGGGTTTTCAGCGAATAATCTCAGACAAATAGAGTCTATCTTTCTATTCTATAACAAACATTATTAATATCATAGTATTACAGATATTTTTCCTTTTTTTATTTATAAACTACATTACAAATATTACAACAATCTTACTACAAGAATCACTTAAAAACATCTTTATTAGTGGTTGGCTCAAATATATCCATCTCACTAAGATTTCCTATATCCTGGTAAATTATTACTCTTAAAGTATCGCACATTGGGCATTTAAGTAATACATGATTATGTGGCTCTTTCGTACTCAAGTTGTGGAGCAAATCACACAATCTTATTGTCAACTGAACCTTGAACATGTATTTTCCAGAGAGACGAATCTGTATTAATAATCTGAATTTATTTGAAATTAGTCGGCATCAACAATTACTGGAAGATCTGACTATTTATTTATTTATCTGACTATCTATTTATTTTTTAAATTTGAAAATCTATATATAGAAAAAAGTATTCATTAAATAACATTTGTAATGATAAAAACTTGTTAGTTTGTAATGAGTTCATGGTTTTCACCTAAAACACATTTTTTTGCAGATATTGTCCACTAATCAGTTCCTAACCCTTAGAACGACAACTGGGGTATGACACATCACACAACATTTTCAATATTAAATTACTTTTATATAAGGAGCTCTTTGCCCAAGTTTTTTTCATGTAAATAAACATCATATATAGCCCAGCTAATTACAGTCATTAACATTCCATTTTTGGACTTATATCATTATTGCGAGTTATCGAAAGTCATTATGGGGTATCCCACAACCCAGTGCGTTGTTTACATGACTCCTAAGTGCCTCACAGCCCAGTGTTTTCTTTATTATTTTGAAATTTCGAATAATTCAGGTGTGGATTCCTAATTTTATATTTGTTAATTAGTGGTATTTTCAATTCAGACAGTAATATATGGAAACTATTTTTTTGGTATGGCAACTTCCAAAAAAATGTGGTTGAAACAAAATTCAAATGTTCCCTATAAGCTCAGCTATGCAATGTTTTCTAGTCACCCTCCTGCAAATGTCATTTATATTATTAAAGGATACTTATTAAGTATCCTGTCGATATTTGTTATGATTATCGCGATAAATATATATTAGTAAATAGTCTGATCATTCAAATTAATTGGTTTTCGGCTTATAAGTTAAAGGATTAATTGAACAAATATACCCATGCTCCAAGCTAGAGACAGAATTAATTTTTCTCCCTCTTCTGGGCATATTTACCCGCTGAGAGGGCGAAAAGGGAAGCATGTTGCAAGCACACACGCAGATTAACTTTTCATGGGAATGTTTCAGCCTTTGAGCGGAACACGTTTAAAGAGCAGAGAAGTAATTTAAGGGGCCGGGGGAGAAATGGCCTCTCTACCGGTATTTTTTTCCCTTTTTTGATAAAGCGGCGGGGCACACTGGGTTTGGGAGGGGGGAGGGGGAACTTCATCTAATATGGATGGGCAATTGGTAAGCTGGCTAAGCGACGGCATTAGGTTGGTACACCTGCTGATATCCGGTCATTACCGCGCCTCATCAAAGTTCCATGCGCCGGCGCAATCTCGTGCGCATCAAATATACACTCGCAGGATTGCCACTTCATTTTTCATGACGACCATCATGGGGCGGGGAGGTCGCCATGAATAGGTGAGCGCTCGGGAGCTCGTGTCTTTAGCTAACCCACCGCCCGGTATTAGGGACCCATCCTCCAAGTCATTAGTGCTCTCTGCCTTTCTTAAATGTCCTATCATCTTATTGTGTGTATATTTAAAAAAATAATAAATACATTTATTATATAACTCACTGGCTAAATCATTTATCAAGATTTTCTTATTACAGAATTTAAATACTTTCTAAAACTATATTACATCCGAACATTTTGAGCATATGGTGCGTCATTATTTTCACTCATCGACGAGTGAAAAAAAAATCGATCAATTAGTAAGTTTCTACAAACAATACTTTTTGAGGTCAGGTTAGGTAATGTAGTTTTTTAACACTCGACATCTTGAGAGCAAAGAAGTCATTAGACCTCTTTTATTCTTTTTTTTTAATATTTTATTGAAAATATATTTTTAGAAATTTCACTATTTTTCCGATGCTATCTCCTTATATTTTGTGGAGGTTTCTATTGATTAATAAATCTTGAAAACAGCTGATGAAGATGTTGCTAATGGTCAAATGTAGATCGCACCTAATACATTTTAGAGGTGTTTCTTTCATGATTAGACTAGACCCACCGACTTGCGAGAGCTGTAAGATGCAAAGAACTGTCCAACACATCATCCAAGACTGTCCAGTGTTTAAGAATATAAGGAAAAATCTCGACATGGCTCAGAGTCTAAAAGAAAACCTCAGTGACAACGAAAACGCCGTGGAAAAAACCTTAAAATTCTTAAAAATAATAAAGTTCTACAATAGAGTATAAATAGGAAGTGTTGCCAATGACCCTACAGGGTAGAGGCAACAATAAAAACGAATAAATGAATATTAATATTCATTTTCAGCATTAACCGAGATCTCTAGACAAATTACTGAAGAATTCATAGCTTTGATTATACTCAATATTTTATTTTCATTTAAAGCCTATTTTTTAAGTCAAGCAAACCTTAATATAATGTCAAAATTCAAAAGTCTGCAATAAGCCATTGCTGAACTTACCCCTGACAAAATTTCGTTGCAATGCGGACATACAGACAGACAAAATATTTTTTAAAGTGGATTTGGTGTCTGCAATGTATGAAACGGCAAAATATCATAAAACGAGTTGATTCTATTCAATGTACAGACAAAAACTTTATTTCATTTATGTAGATATCTGTGTGTAAGCCATGTGTGACCTACCCTCAATCTTTATTATAACAACCTGTTCTCTTATGCTCTTGAAATTAGAGCCTTTTCAGACTTAATTTCTTTCTTTATACATTTTTGTTTATTTTGGTATAATAATTTCCAAAGCTGAGCCCTGGCCATCTAAGACCTGTTTGGTTCATGCAGAAGGAAACATAACACATAAAAACATATAATTCGTAACATTTTATTGTTTTTTAAACATTATTAAAACCATTTTTTTTTTCAAAAACGAACTTATATTGGTCTGCTGAAGTATTCGTGTAATTTGCACATTAACAGTCTTAAGATATTAAGATTCATATTTTCGATATAATTTTTTTTTCACTTCAAATATCTATCCGCACTTGTCATGTTATTAACAATCAACAGATAATTATTGGCATTACAGGCAAGAGGAAGGATAGCACCCAGCAGCACCTCTTCCTGGTCATTGTTTACTTCTTTTGCAGTTTAGGAGATCTCTCATCCAGTTCCTTTTTAGTCTTCTGATAGGCACGCCAGTCGTGGCCATGTTGTTTATAAGTCTGCTGTTGTGTCCGTGTAGTTTGAGATGAAAACGAGAGTAGAGAGTACGTATGTGTTGGTCGACAGTTGGTTGTCGTAAGTCGTTTTGTAAAGTACTTTTATTGTTAAAGTACCAGAAAGCTCCTGTTATAAGTCGTAGAATTTTGGATTGAAATGGCTATAACGTTTGTGTGTGTTTTTTGCCGAGCCGTAAATCTGAGAGGCGAATATCCAGATAGGTTTGAGTATTTAAATATATGCGTTTAGTTATTGCCAAACTTTCAATTTCGATTTAGAAAAAAATTAGCACAGTATTTTCAGTCGCTTGTTTAAATTGATATTTATTCTAAATTCAATTATTTCATCATTTCATTTTTCAAAATAAAAATATAAATTTTTGTAACCCTTTTGAATTTTCATAGTTCTTTCCCCTAAAAATGAAATTTTAAATTGCTCTATATAAGACGAACACATATAAAATGTAACATATAAAAAATAAATAAAGTACAAATTAATGTAGAAGATAATTAAAAATTTCATTGTAGTAGTTAATAATTTTTACATATGTATCACTGATTACAAAATAAATATTGTTTAGAATTATTGAATGTTATATTATATTTTTTTATGTATTTAATTTAGATTTATTAATTTCTTTATATTAAATTTCTACTGAAGGTACGGAGGTTTGTAAAAGTTGTGTGGTGAGCGCACAATTCAATTTTCTTTTATTATTATTACCTTGAAGAAAATGGAATCGTGGGCGCATCACACAACTTTTACAAACCTCCATACCATCAGTAGAAATTAAATATAAATTAATTAATTATTCTAACGTAAATACATAAAAAAAAATATAACATACAATAATTCTTTCATTTTCTTTTATTGTTATTGCCATGAAATTTCAAAATAGGACATGCTTTTACAACTCTTAAAGCCAAAAATAACAAAAAAAAAAAAATACTTCGAAGTAAAGGGTGGTCCAATTTGAGTTTCCTAAATTTAATATTTAAAATTGGCGCATTTTGCTAAAGTATTTGAACCTAAACCTATATAAAATACAGTTTACTCAAGAACTGAAGTCCAGAGACCATAGGCAGCGAAGAAATCACCCTGATTGGGTGTTACAGCAGCACGAAGTTGATGCTGATTTTTTGAAGAATTTTTTTTTCTTAAATGAAGCTCACTTACAGATATCTGGGTACATTAATAAACGAAATTCCCACATTCAGTATGAGAAAAATCCTCATATGGAAGACAAGAAACCACTAAAATGCACTTTTTTAAAAACAAAAACAATTTTTTTGTAAAGATTTGTCATCAATCATGGATTTTTACACAAATGTCTTGTAATAAACTGGAATATACCATTTTCCAAGAATGCACTTATTATACTTCAAGCCTAAATCGATTTTCTCTAAAACCTGATATATCGGCAGTATTAAACAACAACGAATCAAACATAGGAACCGTGATAATTTTTTTTATAATCCATAGACTATTAAATAAAATATAAAAATAGATATAAATTATATTTTATTGTTCTTTTTTTTGTATTTATTTTAATATATATCATTTTTTATATCTTTTTAAATATCTTTTTCATATACCACTATTATTGCATATATCATCTATTATTAATTTTTGATTGTACATTTTTTTTTCTGTTTCTCCTCTAAAGAGTTTACAAACATAACTGACTCACAGGCGTAGATGACCTTGGGGTTTTACGCCTTAAAGCCTGAATAAACAAACAAACTGGAATATACCAAAATTTTATCTCATGTTTCCTAAATTAATCATGAATTATGTACGTCTTTTTTTTTTTTTTTTTTTGTCAGCAGGCCCTCAAGTTTGGTGTGCACTGTGGTAAGGAGCCATAATTGGGCCTTAATATTTTTTGGGCGCTACTAAAGCATAATAATCGATTATTTTTGGTATGAAATTGAGGGATTGATATGGAAAACATGTGGTTTCAGTAACACGGTCCAACATGCGATTTGATAGGCTTTCTTTTTTTTGGGAGTTTTTTTTAATATTTGTGTCCACATCAACAAGAATATAGTGTTGGAGCACCCAAAGACAAAAATTCGCCAAGTTATAGCGGAGAAAACCCCTGGAACTTGCGAAAAGTCATTGAAAATTACCTCGAAGGAACCAAAAACTACAGAATTTTCGGAAGCGTTCCTTTGGTTGATATAATTTTTCGTATTTAATGAATTTTATTATATGTTCGATTAATAAAAATATAACTAAGATAATTTTTGTGTTTTTTCTTAATTAACATTAGGAAACTAAAATTCGATCATCCATAATCAATTATTGTATAAGAGACAAATATTTTAGATCATTTGTTACGATATTATTATAGCTATACAATTATAATAAAAAAAGAGAGTTCAGGAGGGGTAGAGGAGACAGAGACAAACGACGGAAGAGACAGGTGAGTGAAGTTAACAAGGAGCGGTGGAGGCTATTTGTCAGCTAGCCTGGCTAGCTCATTAGGCTAGCTACCGACAGGCGAGCTAATTAGTCTGTCTAGCCTCTATAGCTCTCAGCTCTATGGCCGTATATATAGTCCTCTTAGGCTATTTCTTAAAATTATCTCGCCATTATAGTTCTTATTCGCTATTATTAGTAGCTGCGGCCGCTCCTCCAGCCTCTGTCTACTCTACCCCTACCTAATTAATAGTTAGCTTCAATAATAAATCAAAATTATCATTATTATAGTGTATATATAACCTAATTTACAGGGAGGCTATGGTATTAACATCTCCCAAAAATAGAAAATAAAACTAAAGTGTGTGCTCTAGACCACACAATAGTAGAGAAAAGGGTAGATTAGTAATATGACATATAAATTTTCAAGTTTTTTTATTATCAGCCAATTTTACAACAATTTTTTAATTTTGTCAACTTAATGACTACGCATCATAATTACGACGTTTCGGCTCGTCGAGCCATTTTCAAGTCTAAAATAATTTTCGATTAACAATCATATATTAACTTTACATATTTCAAAATATAAAGATTCTTTTTATATACCTAAATACCCATCATGTACCTGTCCTTTTCACTTATGCAAATTGCATGTGTCTACTCATTTATTCAGGATTTTACGATACATATATATTATATAAATAATTTATTTAGCTTTATCAAAACATGCATTCCTATGATTTATTTATGTTTTTTTCAGCTTGTCGAAATCCTCCAGATTTTATTTTAAAAAAGTATAATTAATTGTGAAAATTGTTTAATTATTAGATAAAATAGTGTATGGACAGGGCATGGTGTGAAATGCATTTCATTTTACTGTTAAGAGACCTTGCTTATGTATATATTCCGAATTCCTTGTCATCTGATATCCGCCATGCCTCTGCCTTGTCCT